TGCGTGGCCTGGGGGCCAAGCGGGCGCGTACTCGTTCCCACTCGTTCGTTGCCGCTCATTAATTTCGTCTATTTAGTAAAAGTTTCTTGCTGGCGCCTCCGTCGCCGGTGCTTGCAACTTTTTTAAGTGGTTTGCGGTTTATCATTTTTGGTTTTCAGGCGAATGAAAATGCAGCTGCCCTTAACGGGCGCGCGCTCTCCTTCTATCTTTCTCACTCTCTTTCGCACCGACTGTCTCTTTCTGTCTCTCTGGTTGGGTTCCCCTCCGTGCCCTGTCTCTTTCGCAGCCTCCAACAAAACTGCGCGCAAACAGGAAATAACGGTAACGCTGCTTCATTTCCGCTTTTATTAAAACATACTTTTCACGTTGTACCTCATCCGTTTCAGGGCTGCCTCTCCTCCGCCGCACCGCTCACTCTGTCCAGCGTTGCCTCTTTTGATACTCTCGACTGTCTTACCGCTGTTGGCCGCAGGCATCTTACATGATACTCTTTCTGGCAAGATAGTTGCAAAGGTCAGAGAGCTTCAGCAGATCAGCCAGATGCGCATGGCAAGAATTCTTCCGATTGAGTCTTGGATCTTTGCAGTGTTGAGCACTCAAAGAACATTTCTTTGCTTCACTGACTAAATGTTAATTAATTGTTGATGCATTTTTCTTTTGAAGTTAATAATATAAGTATATAATCTGTGGGAAATCTCTTCATCAATCAGTGCACCAATTGCTTCTGTTTCCCATCAAAAACCATACCAAATTGACTGATTAAAGTGCATATTAAATTTTATTCTTTCGTTGCCTAAGTGTATGCGTGATTCGTTGTTGTTTTGGGGCAGCGTTCTTTTCTCTTGTTTTATCTACGCTAGTTGTTGTCGCTTTTGCTGATGCTGTTGGTCCTGCCGCAGCTCCAGCAGCTGCTTGTCACTTCCGCTAGCCGCCCGCAGTTTTCCATGAAGGAAACTTGTGCCCAGAGTTTTCTAGTTTTATTTTATTTTTATTTTTTTTTTTTTCGCTCTGCGGCTGGCGCTTTAAAAGCAGTCAGCGGATACGCCGAACCGAACCATCTTTTTGGTGTGTGTGTGCGGGGCATGCAAACTGTGACCACGCCTATCCACCTAACTTGCCCCAGGAGCAAACCCTGTCCCTGTCCCTGTCCCTGCACCTGCACCAGCTGAAACTGCACCGCAGCAAGTTGCAAGTAGCCAAAGGTAATTAATTTTGTAGTTGCAAGTTGAGGTGCACAGTGCACCGTGGAGTACCGCGGAGAACTTACTTGCTCATTCTCTCCATTTGTGTGGAGAGAGAGAGAGAGAGGGAGGCCGCCACAAGCTTTTGACAGTCCGCAGCGTGCAAATGGATTTTCCATTTTCTATTTTCCATTTACTTTAGTTTCCACTCGGAATGAGTGGCAACATTTCCTCAAATACGAATTTTTTACGTGGCTCTGGCTCTGCCCGCCCGCACGCTCGCTCCCCCGCTCCTTGGGCGCCCAGTGCGTGTGTCTATTAATTTTCTTGGATGCAGCCATGTGGCCACGCCTCGTTGGGCGTTGACAAACGCGCCACACAGCGCACGGGCTCTGATAAATTGCTGTGCGGCAGAGTCGGAACAGGGACCGGCAACTAGAATGGGCATTGGGGGCGCCGGGCGCCAGGCGCTTTCTGCTTCAGCAGCCTTTAACAACGTGTCTAATGGAGCGTTTGTTTTGGCTGCGTTGATTTTGCATTTTCGTTGCGTGGGTGGCACAAAGAGAAAGGGAAAGAGAGAGAGAGAGAGATACGTATGTACATAGTAGCATGCTTGAGGCAGTGTACACGGATGTCTGAATCTGCTGCAGGTTGTTTGAATTATAAATTTGATTTTAAACAGCAAGCGTGCCCCCAAGTAAGACACAAATTGCATTGCAGCCGGTCGGATTCAGCCATCCATCGTGTCCGATGTGCTCTGTGTGTCTGAGCCATCTCTTTTCATTTGACTTGCCTTGCAGTCAGAACTGAACTGTGACCTCCGGCACAGATAAGACCAAGCAGCCCGAGGTGCAAGGGCCAGCCATGTCACTGGGAAACAAGACGCGTTAAAGTCAAAAGTTGTGACTGCCACAGTAGCAGCAGCAGCAGCAGAAGCAGAAGCAGCAGCAGAAGCAACACAACAACAAAGGCTATCAAGTGTTACTTTTCCAAGGATCCGAACAGATCCGGACAGGCAAGCAGAAGTGAATGAAAACGAAACGAAGTTATCAAGAAACAAGGCACAAGGCTATTACGTTTGTCCGTCTCTCCGTCCGTCTCTAGTCTCTGGCAAGTGTTTCGGTGTTGGGTTGGGGCCGGGGCCGGGGCCGTAGCTCTGGTAAACGACAAAAATCGACCAGCAAAAAAAAAAGGAAATCAACTCAGCCACAAAGTCTCAGGGCAGACCGGTGCCAATCTAGGGCCGAAGGACCCGTCCAGCCGGAAAAAGGGGGACCCCGAAACTGAAATCGTAGTGCGTGCCGAGAAAGTACTTCACGACGACGACGAAGAAGGCGATTCTCGTTGGGTCTCTAAGCCGGGGCCAATGTCAGAAGTTAAAACGCAATAACAAAAGGCCCGGGACTGCAGTGCAAAAAGGAAAGTGGGAAATTTCTAATCAAAGGCGGCCTGTCGAGGCGGCTCAAGTCGGGTCAGCGAGTGCAGGGAGGGCAGGGCAGGGCAGGGCAGCGCAGAGCTTACGACTGGGACTCGAAAGTCGAAAAGAAAACATGTGAAGCCTTAGAATTGTTTTGCAATTGCCTGGTGCACGTGTCCCGCTACCACCCCCCATGCAGTGGCATTATCACTCCAAGAACTTCAGTTGTGTCAGAGGACATTATCTCCTTCGGTCTCAATGGCTCTCTGGCTCTCTGTCTGCGTCTTTTACGCTCTCTCTTTGTGACCCGCTGTGGCTAAGCTGCACTGCAAGGCTTCATAATTTCCACCGCATGTGGCCGTGTTGCGGCAGTTCGCTTGCCCTGACGCGCAGCGGGTGGCACGTCTTTGGTTACGCTCTCGACTTGAAAATTGAATTTGCCACAGGAATGCGGGGGCCCCGGTTATTACTGTGTGTATTCTTTTTGTGGTGGCGGTGTTGGTGGTGGAATTTGGCAAATATTCGATGGTAATTAATCAACTGACACGAGCACATCTCCCGCCCACACACACATTGGCAGAAATCTATTAGGATGCCAGCAGCTGGGGCCTGTGGCTGGTTTGGGGTGCTGCTGCTGCTGCTTTGGGTGCTGGCCTTGGTTAAAGTTGCTGCCTAAGCCGCTGCAAATCCCCTGAAAGCTTTACCTGTCCACACCTGCCAGGTAACTTGCAAAACAAAAATACGGCAGCCGGGAAAAAATTCGGAAATTACAGAATTATGCCAGCTGTCGCAAAAATAACCAGAATAAGATCTCTCACTCTCTCTGTCTCTCTTTCTTTCTTTATCCCATGCCACAGCAGTCCAAAGAAGCTTAGCCAGAAAAGCAGAAGAAAGCAGAGACTGATGGAGAGAGAGAGAGAGAGAGAGAGAGAGCAGAATATATATATGACAAATCTATATGAAAGTGTCTTTTCTATATGGGAGTTTTATTCGCCCTTATCGAATTTGATTTTGTTTGGCTTCCCTCACAGCGCAGAGCTCAGCACTCAGATCCTTTCAACTCGATTCAATCTCTGGCAAAGGATTTGCCGCTGAATTTTATGCTAATTATGCCGCTAAGCTTGCAAACTTTCAAAAGAGTTTCGGGGGTCTTAGCGCGCTTATAAAACTTCAAGCAAGGCAAGGCGTCAGTCGGCAGTCAGAATGTTTGCCCAAGACATCTTTGCGCCGTGCTTATGCAAACAGATTTGCGCTGACTGCAGGAAATTAAATTCCAAGCAAAATATTCGCACACGTTGAAAGCCTTTGGGTTTTTTTTTTTATTTTTTATTTTTATGCGCACATTTTATTTATGGCCAAATGCTTATAATTTACGTGCCACAGATGCCGCAGAGACGGGAAACCGTAGAGCCGGTGAGCCGGCCGGCGTCTATGGCATCAACACTTCCGCGGGAGCCGGCGACGACGCGCCGTCTGTGATTTCAACTGAGACGCTGCAAGCGGAAATCCACGTAACGGAGCAGGAATCGTAGGAATCGAAAGACGAAACAACAATGGCCGTGGAGAAAGCCGTGAAGAAAGCCCTAAAAAGAAAGGACATGCCCATGCCCATGCCCGTGCCCATGCTCGGGTTGATTTTGTTGCTGACGGAGCAGCATATGGCAAAAGTTTAAGTAAGCAATATTTATTTTCTATTTTCTATTTTATTTTCTGGTTTCCATTTATTTGCGTTCTTCCATTTCAATACAGCGCAGCACATAGACCGCAGTCTGGAGCGGATTTCAACCAGAGCTCTCTGCAGGAATTGGTGGGCGTGGGGCGAGGAGGAGGGGTCGCTGGGTAGAAGTGGAAAATATGAAAAATTGCAACATATTTTCCTCGACTGTGTCTGGGGGCGAAAGTTTTATTTGTTTGCTTCATTGCATGGTCGAGGCATTTTGTGGTTGAGCGAGTCTCAAAGTTGCTTTTGCTTTTGCCAGGAACATTTTTAGAAGTTAAGAGAAAGAGTGTGGCAGGAAGGGGGAGAGTGGGAGAGGGGCAAAGACTAAAACTGCACACAAAGGCAAATTTGCTTTTGACGATGCATCTGCATCCGTTGGCAGGGAGAGTATCGGGAGGGGTGGCATATGTACATTTATACCCGTAGAACTTTCGTATCGCAGCGTGACTTGGTCACTTGTCTGGCATGTCAATAAGCCATCCTGTATGCCATTTGTGCGGTTCTCAGATATCTACTATATTTACGAAAATGTGCAAAATACTCAGTGAAATAGTTTGGTTAAGAGACTTATTGACTTGTGGCCAATGCCTTGGCTGCATGTTGCACCATGGCATGAGCTGCACATTCACATTGCATTCATCATTGATATGGAATGGGGGGAGGGGGGAAATGTGACACTCACCTCCTTCGTCGGTCATCACCAGGATGGTTGTCTCCGGTCCCAGGCCTTCCGGGTTGAATACCTGCACGGTCACCTTGTACTGCGTGTATGTCTGCAGATTCTGTATTTCATGGCTCTGCAATCGGAATGGAAGGAAGGAAACATTTTGTGAGAAATATTAAAATTGCTTCTTTAATATGCAAACGTACATACATACATACATACATACGTATGTATGTACATACACCCACAAAAGCATAGCAAAGACTTTTCATTTGTTGGTCGTATAACAAAATAAAGTGGAGCACTTTCCAGCAAGTGCTGCTCTGAAGGAGGAGCGCCACTGCCATCCAGTAGGAGAGCTCCTCCCTCCCCCGGGGCATTGAGCATGCTTGGAGCGGAAATTGCGCGCTGCATACTTTTGTGCGTTGCCGTTGGCGTCGCTGGCAAATATGAAAATTGCAGCACTTAAAATTGATTTGCAGTGCAATGCATTGCACTGGCGGTGGTGTTGGGTGTTGGGTGGGGCCAAAAGGAAATTGAGTTGCTTGGGCAGGCAGGCAGGCAGGCAGGCAGCAGTCCTTGGCTTAATTGCCATGCCATACAACCCATCTCCAGCCATGCACATGTGAGAGTCGTTAAGGATTCTGGCCTCACTTTCTGGCCTTTGTCCCTGAATTCCGCGAGTGGTGTGCGGCTGATTAAAGTGTAAGCAAAGGTCAGAAGCAGTGCCAAACCATAAAACAAGCCGCAGACTTAGAGTGGTTCAGTACCGCCATCACCCACACAAGCACAAATACTCAACACAAATGGTCAAATGTGCACAATAGCCATGGCCATGGCTACTGCCTACAGCAGGCACAAATTATGTAGCATACATTAGGGCGACTGTATATGTGGCGCTTCTCGCTCGCTTCTCGGACTGGACTCTCTCTGGGTGTGTGTGTGTGTGTGTGTGTGTCTGCGGTTAGGCCACAAACCAACGGGTTTTGACTGTGCGAAGCCTAGGCTGTGCTTAGAGCCGGATTGACTGCCATGCCAACAGCTTAAGTGGCTGCTGGGTGCCGCCCTGAGCTCTCTCGGCTTTTCAGACGGCGCCAGTTACTATCGCAGTTATTTTTACCAAAAGCGTTATATCTTATGGTCTCTATATACACTCTCGTACGTAGTGTGTGTGTGTGCGTGTGCCTGTGGTTGTGGGTGCTGCTCGGTTTTAGTTGCTCTGCAGCGCCATATAATTTCATTTTATTTAGTCGCCAGTAAATGAGGCCGAAAAATTTACAACTGCTTTTATTTTTATGGACAGCAAAGAAGTTGGAACTGCCCGAGGCCCGAGGCCGGGACACTTAATTGATATAATGTAATTGATAAAGTTGTTCGTGCCGAGAGGGAGAGCGCAGGAGAGGCAGAGTAAAGTGTGAAGCAGCAGACAAAAAGAAACCCACTTCACTTTGCTTCCCCACCGCTGTGTCTATTTCCCTTTGCGTTAATTAGTGCTCGCGGTGGATGGCTCAACTTGCATGCTGCCCCATAGATAGACACACACACACACACACAGGACTTGGGATGGAAAGCTGAAGCAGATACAGCAGCAGATGCAAATTCATCTGTCAAACAAATTCCAATGCCTGGTCGCACCAACAACAACAACAGCAACAGCAACGAAAACTCATCACTTTGCAAACATTTTTCGCACTGAACAATTCTATTTTGCGAGCATGGTTACCTTTTTTTTTTTTGTTTTCGACATCCCTCACGCTCAACAGTATCACTGGCGGGGCAATGCTTTTTTTCCAGGCTTCTTTTTTTGGTTTTTTCCCCGTAAACCAAGCTTCCTTTTGGGCCAGCAGCCCTTGAGGTATCGCCTGGCTCAAAGTTCTCATTCTCTCTCCCTCTTTCTCTCTCCCTCTCTCTCTCTCTCTCTCTCTCTCTGCATGTCTGACTCGACGGCTTTTATCAGTGTAAAAGTTGCGAAAATTTATGCTTTACGGCGCAGAAATTTTAATTAGAAAATTGGCAAATTTAGCCCTGCAGGACACCCGCGAAGCAGCCTCGGAGAGTCGCCTCACACGTGACAGCTCAATGTAGATGCCACTGGCCACTGCACTGGCGGGTGAGTGCTGGCTGCAGGTTGGTTGGAGGCCACTGAACGCTGATGCTGATGCGATATGGGAATAACAGAAAGCCATGTCCTGGACTCCACCAAAAGACTTGGCGGGGGGAAAAAAAAAAACAAGAAATAACTAAAGTCGCACGTTTCTGCCTGCAAGGATAATATTTCAACATGCCACTGACATGCAAAAGAGACAAAAAATAGAGGAGCCCCGGGCACGAGCAGAGTGTGGCATAGTGGCAGCAGCGAGGAGCAGAGTGAGAGAGGCAGCTTCTAGATAAGAGCAAAATATGCACTCGAGCACAAAAGCGTGCCATGCTTGTGGCAATCAGGCGTCATCCTCCTCCTCCTCCTTCGCCCCTCCACCAAATCCTCCTCCACTTGCCATTTTTTGGGCACTCTGTCGCGCCGAGTGTCGTACGTGAGCATTATCGCTAATAATTTTTGCATATTTTAAGCTCTGCACGGCTCGGCTTGTCCTCCAAAATTCGCTTCATTCGCATCCGGCCCCCAAGCTCCATGCTTCATGCTGCTGCTGCTTCTGCACATTCGCAAATGCATTCGCCGTGCGGGGCTTACTATTTGGCTCCATTATCTGCCCGAATGTCCAGCGGTTTGACTTTCAAGCGTTGTGGCTGGCTTTAAGGCGTCGGATAGGAGTTGAATTGGCCAAAATGTAGACAGGATATTGATTGAATATGGAAAGAAGGTACAGCCGTATATATGAGGATAAAGCTGAGACTGGAAAAGTGACAATCATGAGTGGGGCTATGAATATATTTATATATATTTAATGGCCTACAAATTCCCTGACAAATGTGACTGAAAGTGTCCACTGACAGACGGAAAACCCATTAAGGAGGGGCGAGTGTCAGAAATATATTCAATAATCGCCAATCTGATTGATTATTTATTCGATTTGCTTTCGGTAGAATTTCTTATCTATGAAACGAGAACGAGAACGAGTACAAGTATTCCCAAGTTATTTGTTGCCAGATCCGTTTCAATATCGCTGGACAATCTGTGCTCCACACACTCCCCCTGTATTCCATTAGCCCACTTGCGTGTTGAACTATCCCACACACACACACACACACACACCGAAGCACAGCTACCCACCCACCCATCTAGTAGACAAAACTGGCCCCAGCTGAGAGCGAACTAATCGTTAACAAATTGCCAGTGATAGCGTGGCCCCCAACGAGATATGGTAAATGCCCCCTGGTAACACCTTGACAGGCCGCCAAACGAAAAACACTTGTAACCGTGCCCCATGTGTGCGCTGGGGCTGTGCGTTCGTTTCGGCGAGTGTGGGAAATGCTTTCCCAGTTGCCAGGTGTAAATTACTTTTTAATACGCCGCTGATGTGACTTTAAGCCAGCGAATGACAAGACGGAAAAACATTTCTAGACAAACTTTAATCCTGTACACAGGCCAATGGCAAATGGTGGGACACATTTGTATGTACGAGTGTTGTACGGATGGGATAGAAAATAATATGCACGTCGCAGGGCAGACAGACACGAACAAAAACCGAAACGAAACGTAACGAAATTGAATGACGCTGCAGGTATCCATCTGACACACGAAGGGCCCCAAAATGTTTCCCGCTGTATTTCCAATATGGCAAAGTGTCAGAAATCATGAAATTCAATTATCTTTGGCCTGTACAACTAAATAGGAGAGTTTTCAGAAGTGCTACATGCTAGGGCGGCAAACTCTCTCGACTCTCGACACCGATACAAATATTACACTAGCGATAAATAAAATCGAAATCTAATCTAAATAAAATTCGATCTTTAAATGCCCCATTACGTACCTCCACAGTGTTATCTCGTATATAGATTTCCTTGGTGTCATTTGGATCGCGGTCGCGTGGCCGATATGTGATGCGATAGCCAAGAAATTCACCGAGTATGGTATCCGGTGGCGGTGGCTTCCAGGAGATGTACACCGACGTCGAGGACGTGTTGTGGGCCGTCGTCGGTATGGGCTTGCCCGTGGGCGCTGCAAGAGATACGCAATAGAGTGAGAGTGAGAGATGGGTTACAGACTACGACAAAAAAAAAACTTTGACTTTGACTGGCAAAAGTTTAGCCGAAACTCAAAAATTTCCAAATTAAAAACGTCGCGTAAAAGTTTTGCATACTCTGCCTCAAATGTCCCCACCCTGCTTCCGCCACCAACATGCCGCGGTGGTGCACAACTCTGACCTGTCATGTAAGCCGGAACGTTGTCTGTGGCATTGTCAAGTTGTCACTGTCACGCAACATAAGTTGCGAGTGCTGTCCCGTCCTGGCCCGGGATCTGGATCTCTATGCGGGCCTATGCGGGTCGGACGTGGCCCCCCAACTCCTGGCTAAGAGCCTTGCCTATGCGAATTACTCGCAAGTTAAATGATGCGTGTGCCGCGCCACGCTCAGGTGAGTGGTGCCACAGTGGGGCAGAGCCCGGCAGCCAAGGATGCTGCCAAGCTGATCTGGAAGTTTGCCAGCAGTGTAGAGTGGGAGTGGGAGTGTGAGGTGGGAGTGTGAGGGTGCTCTGAATACTTCAACGAATGTATAAATAAATTAAAAGATATTTTGTATCTTTGGGCTGACATTGATGCCAAGGCAATGGCTCTGTCCCTCTGCAAATTGAAAAGTTTTCCGGTTTTAATCTCGCTGGGATTATGGATCTACTCAAGCCCTTAGCTGGCGTGACGGTGTTCCCCTTTTCGGCCGAAGTGCTTCTGTCATTTGGTTAATTTATGCATGCCGCAAGCTTAATTTATACAAATTGGCAACTCGACAACGACCGCAGAAGCACCGGCCCAGGCCGAAGACCTTAATGAGCTCGGGATCTGGGACATACACTATTGACTAATTTGTAACCGCATGTGTTGCACTGGCAGTGGCAGTGGCAGTGGCATCCTTGCTGCTTGGCTCGCATTCCATGGTGCGTGAGTGCGTGGCATAAATGGTATTTCACACCCAAAATGTGGAGATGTCCCTGGCCCTGTTTCTGGCCCTGGCCCTGGCCAGCCGCTGGCAAAGTCATTTCCAATGTTCATAAGACAAATGTGTTGCTAATAGCTTGTCGCTGTTGCCGAAGGGAAGTGAGGGCTACTCCTGCTGCCGCTGCTTTTGCTTTGATTAATGTGTCTCGCGCTCTTAAAGCCTATGGAAAGTTGTGTGACTTTTTGGAGTCCATTTATATATGTGGGCCACGGCACAGGCACAGGCACAAGTATAGGCCACGATTAATCATTGTCTGTGGCAGTCACACAGAGCAGCAGCCACCAACAGCAGCCACCAACAGCAGCAGGTGAAATGTCAACCAAATGGCATGAACATTGGCGGAAATGGAACCGTAGCTAACAAGCGAATGCACCGCATAAGATGCCATTGAACATTGCCCAACTATTTCGTTAAACTTTCTGTCTCCCCGCATGTTAATGAAATGAAAGCTGCCCCCTAACATTTAAGTGTGCCCGCATATACACGTTGTGCTCCATAGTTTCCCGTGGGCGGACGCAGTTAATGTCATTGCCAATGGAAGCAAAGTGGGGCGCAACAGCAGGAGAAGACGCAGCATAAAATGACGACATACCTGCCCTAGCCGGGGCTGGGCCTACCGTCAGCGTAAAAATAATTAAACGTATACAGCATGAGGAGGAGGAGGAGCAGGAGGAGCAGGAGCAGGAGCAGGTGGAGTCTCTGGCTTTATGAGGCCGTAATTGCTGGCAGCTGGCTCACGGCCCAGGGAGACAGAGACGAAGCCCGTGGTGGGCACTGCAGGAGTAGGCCGTAGAACCTGTGACAACTTTTCATTGACGGCACTTAAAAGTCAGGCCAAGTCGTTGCCGTCAACCAAATTGAAATGAAAAATTAATGTGATTGTAAAAATTGTTATGTCATGTGTCTCGTAACTTTTGTCCCTCCCCCCAATCCCTCTCACACTCTGTCTCTCTCTATGCGAGTGTGTAATGTGTGTAATGTGGGCAGGCCTGTGCGAATAGTTTATGATCTGCGAGCAATAAAATGTGTAGTTTGAAGTAGAGCAAGCAATAAGCCAGGCTAGTTTTATTAGACATCCCTGTATCAGTTATCAGAGCGCACTCTTGACATCCCATTAAATGTGAATTTTGTAACGTTTAGTTTTATGGCTTTTAAATCTTTAAATAATATTTATTTGAATGTTTTAAGTGTGCAAAAACGTACCTTCCCGCAGCGTCACAATGTAGTAGGACTCCTTGGACGGGGGACTCATGCCCAGCTTATTGACGGCCAGCAGGCGAAAGCTATAGACGGTGAAGGGCGTGAGGCCGGTCACCTGATATGATGTGGCATTTGTTTTTGTATAAATGCGCGCCAGCTGATCCCAGATGCCATCTTCGCCCTCTCTGTAAAAATATTTGCAAAAAGGAGAACAAAACCAAATCAAATTTAATTTGTGATGCAAGTATTGGCATGGAAAATTCATTGAGCAATTAATCGAGTAAAATACGCGGGTGGATGGCAAACATTTTGATTGAACCAAATTATTTGAACGTATCGTATTATTATTGTGCATTTATATTGCAATTACTAGCTCAATTGCCGCACACAAATATCCATACAGATACCCCCATCTATCCCGCCACAGATATTTCTATTTTACGGCTGCAATCTGCCAGCGGAGAGCGAGATCCCAATATATGTATGTACATAAACCATGCGCATAAAATGCATTATGAAAATTTATATAAAACGGATGCGGATTTGCATGACACTTGAGGGTGGTGGCTATGGGCCCTTGGTTGCCGGTTGCCTGCTGCCTGCTGCCTGGTGCCTGCTGGGTAGTGCCAGCTGGGTGGTTGACCTCTTTTGGGAGCCAGCCGACTGGGACAGGCCATGAAATGTGTGTGTGCTCCCGCCCATAGGCACTAAAATATTTATGCGCCTTTTTACCACATAGATACACACCAATACCTCTACATATGGTAAAAAGAAAAAAACAATATTTGCTTTTCTTTCTTTTGTTGCTGTGGCGGTGTGGGCGGTGCATATAAATTACACGCAGAAGCCCCCGCACAATGAACATTTTTCATGGCACATTTCAAAGTGTAGTAAATTTTGGTTTAAACTCACATCATTTTGGCATCTACTCTCGTACTCGTACTCTCGTACATTTACTTCTCGGCATATTTAAGTTTTTCGTGTGCCCCGCATAAATTTCGCTTTGTCCCAAAAGTTTGATTTTAATGGGGATTACCGATACGAAGGGTGGCCTGGCCAACGCCGCCGCCGCCCCATCGGTAGACCCACTGACCCAGCTCACGCGGTTTTTATGGCGTGATTAAAAATTGTTTTAAATACGAGCCGATGAAAAATTGTGCAACATTTTTATGAATGACGCAACAAAATGGTGTTGGGAGGGTGGTGGGGGGGCTGAAAAAAATTGATTAAAATTAATAAATGCGTGCGAGCAGCTTCCGCGTTGAGTGGGGCACATCTGTTTGCCCTGGCAATGGGCATTTAGTGGATATATTCGTATATATAGTTGTGCTGCCGTCCATCCCACCGCTGACCCATGGATGGCTGGGCAGGGCACAGGACAGGACAGGCAATATGTATTCAGTTTGGTAAAAAATTGTTTGGCGACTTTATGAAGCATGCAACGGAGCCAGGAGCCAGCAGCCAGCAGCCAGCCCTGCTCTGTACCAGCCCCTCCCTCGCACCAGTTCGAATGTATGAAAAACATATGAAAAATGTAGTGAATCGCATACAAAAAGCGGCAGGAATCTTGTCCAGGAGCCGTGGCATCAGCAGCAGCAGCAGCAAAGTAACCACAATGGCAAATAAATTTGCGGCCTTTCCACGGACATGTATTGGATGCTGTTCGTGTTGTTGTTTTTGTCGTTGTCGTTGTTCTGGTTTTTCCATTCGTAAGCTGCTTTAAAATTGTTGCTTACTTGTTTGTTTGTCTTTTTTTTCCTCAACCAAATGAATGTGTATTATTTATGCATTTGTGTGTTTGGGTTTGGGTTTGAGTTTACTTTGCTGGGCATGGTATCTCTCTTTGTGATGTGGCTATGGGTTCAAAGTTCACGCACGAGTTGTTGAAACAGGGAAATTTATTTGTGCCGCCAGGCCCAGGCCCTTGCAGATAATGTGCAAATACTGGCAGGAACAGGACAGGACGCAGATAAGAGAGCCAGCCACTTAGTGGCACCCTCAGCATACGCAGAGATATAGCAAACAATTTAAGCACAAAATGTTAGCCACCATTTATGGCATATTAATTTATGTAACTGTGCAGCAAAAGCAAACGAAAATAGTAGGAATTAATTATGCCATGGCAGTTCAAAGAATGACATATGGAAATCAATGAGTGTGGCAGCCGAATGATGGGCAATGCGGTTCACAAAATATATACGAGCTCGAGTACGAATGCGAGTATGTCATCAGCAGTGGACAGCTTTTAATATTATGCGCAACTTTTTTGTTTCAACTAAATGCACAAATGGAATGCAAAATGCAAAACGAAAAAAAGAAAAACAGTATCAACATCAGTGGATAAACATGTCAGTGGTGCCGAGTGGCAGAGAGTTTGAGCACAGTTTATCGGTTGACCGAATGCCATTTGGCATAAATATGTGGCACACTCGTACACATCGTATCAATGCATACAAGCGGTGGCTGTGCAACAGTTGAGGGTCTGTGCAATTTAGGGATCGACTTAACGCTTCGAAGGGCCACCTCCAACCCTCCATTTTCAATTGCATTGGCAAGCCCAAATCCAGCAAAAGCATGTCACCGTCACCAACGGCGATGTTGTTGCTGTTGTTGTTGTTGTTGGTTTGACGTCTTTCAATTTTGCAAAGAGCTCAAGTGAATATGGGTACCTACCCTACCCCTACCCCTACCCCCACCGCTATCCATCCATTCCACTTACGGGTATGCCTCACTTGCATGCATATGTGCAAATAAACCGAATCAAGCGAAAATGTGAATAAGAGGCGTTGCATCAACAGCAGTAGCAGGGAGCAGCAGGGGGCAAGCAGCTCGACTCTCTTCCATATCGATGGGAATTTACATAAAATGCAGTCTGAAGCAAGTGAAGCAACGGCTTCAGAGCAACGGCGCCTCGGTAGGAGGGGCCAGCTTCATTTTGTGTACGCGATGCCCAAAAAAAAAGTGTACGCTACATATACGCTACGTATGTATGTATATGCTATGCACACTGACAAACACAGACAGGACATGGACAGGACACACACTTGGCAGGCGCTCGCGCGTGTTCACATTTCCGCTGGTGTTTGCCTGTGTGCTGCAGTTATTTCTTATTTTGCATAAATGCACCGCAGGCTCTGCTTTCCAGTTGGCTGTCATCGATTGTGCCATAGCCATAGCCATAGTGAGAGCCAGTGTCTTGTCGAGGACACGCCTCAGCCTGATCCTCAGCTCCCTCCCTCCCAGCCAGCCAGCCAGCCAGCCTTCTCCATCCGCCGCATGCTGATGCTGCTGCTGCTGCTGCAGTTGATGGAAATTTATTGAAAAAGTTTCGCTTTTCGGTATTCTTTTTGCCACGTTTTCCTTTTGGCCTTTGTATTGCGTTGGCGCTGGCTTTGGCTTTGGCTCTGGCGCTCTGGCGCTGCGTTCGCTTTTTATTTCATGCCCCGCATTGAGTTCAAGTTATTCGGAAAATAGCCCGTGCCGAGTACAGTGCTTAACCCCCCCTCCGTCCCACCGTGCCTCACCATGGCACTGGCAGTGTGTATGTTTTCTTTTCTATTTAAATGGAGCACAAGTGAAGTGCGTATCCATGGCACTCGTCCGTATCCTCATCATCCTTTTACATATTAATTAATGCACCGCTGGCACTGGCACTGGCACCTCCCCGAGGCTTACACGAATCCTCACCCAGTCCGTGTATGTGCTGGCGAGGATGGGAGGAAAGGCGCTGCCCTCAGGGCAGGGATAATCAAACGCTGGTCCAAGTCGTAGGCAGGACCAGCTGTCGCCCTGTCGCCCTGTCGCCCTCTGCGGGTTTAGAGCCATGATGAGATTGGTAATTATCATGATTATGATTATAATGATGATCATGATGATGATGATGTTGAAGATTGTGTGCAGCCAGCGATGCCTGGGCTCTTTCATTAGCGGGAATGGGGTCAGCCACAGTGGCATGCATCCCTTCGGCCTAGCAAAAGCCTTGCAAAAGGCGCTTTGCATGTGTCAATCATGTCCATGTCCATCATGGTTGTTGCAACAACCGTCACCATCATCAGCACCATTCTCCCCACCGCAGACACCACTTCATCAGCTTAAAACAACCCCATGGCAGCTCTCCATTTCCCCATTTCCCATGCCCATGTCTTTTTCATACCCCCCCCACCAGTTTTTGCCCCAACATCAACACTTACCGCGTTTCAATAATAAAATGCGTGACGGGTGCATTCCGCGGGTGCTGCGAGTGCGCCCAGGATAAGTTCACGGAGCGGGATGTGAAACTTATCAACAATGGTCGCTCCGGTGGATCAGGCACATCTGCATTTAAGAAAATAAGAAAAGAAACACAAAGAGAGAGACAGAGAGAGAGAATGAGAGTCAGTGGATAATTCGTGTGCAGCGAAGGCAGTGGAAAAACTGCCAGATATCTGGGAAATGCAAATGGAAATCATGCCAAGGCGAATACGCAGCAACAATGAAAACACAAGTGAGAAATCGAAAAAAACGAAGGACGAAAAATAAACAGAAACGAGAACGTATCTGAAAATTAAATCAGCAAAGGCGAAGGGTTGGGGGTTGGGGGGACTGGGAAAATCAGCAAAGTAAACCGGAAAAATCATTACAGTAGTTATGCGTTTCATTAAGAAAACAAATAAAAGACCAATGGCCAAGGGGCAATGCCGTAAAACGGCAGATAATTTAAATGAAATTGATATAATACTCGCAAGTATTCGATGAGGAACTCACCCTGAACCAGCAGATCGACAATCGCCTCCGGTATATGACGATCGTTGACCAGACATATGTACTCGGATGTATCGCTGGCCAGCGATGGGGAGAACTGCAGCCCGAAATTATCCGATAGAAGTTGTATCTGCAACAAAAAAATAAATGAATTTAATTAGAATTTTGTGCCCCAAAACTAAAACCGAGACGTTGATAGGCCCTGACAAAACATACAGGGCAGCCGACAAGAGTTTCCACTTAGGCAAAAACAAACTTTTAAATAGTATGTACAAATATATGTATGTATGTCTACCCGGCTCAGCCATCACACAGGCAGGCCAGTCCCACACAATACTCCAGCAGACAGCCTCAAATGGCCGGATGAGCAACTGTAGGGGAGAAATAGTTTTCATCATTTCCAGCACTCGACTTGGCTTGGCTTGAACTTTTCCCTGGACATGCCAGCATTTGTGTACACTGTACATAATCTACTTTCTGGGTTATTTGACCCAAAAATGTTCTTGCCCCCGGAAAATTGACAGACTCCTGGCCTCCTCCCATTCAGAACGAAGGGAGCAAGAGATTTGTTTGCTTTTTCTATTCTGATTTGCAGCAAATTTCATAATTGCATAAAATTGAAAATACTTTTTATCTATGCATATGCATAGGTAGATATACATATGTATTTGGCAAATATGTATCCATGAAGTACCTGGTTGTAGTGGGATGCCACAAAGTGGCTGCTCGTTGAGTGATTTTCGTCAAATTTAAAAGGGTTTCTTATCAGAGATTACTGCTCTGCCGTAATTGTGTGTATTTCTGGTGAATTTATGGCCGAGTCTGAAGTTTGGAAAATGATTTTCGTTCCAAGTGTAAGCCATTCATCTTAGTTCCAACCGCAGCTGTAGCTCAGTATCTGGGCTTATCACCGCCTGCCTGAGCCTGTTATTCACTTCCAAATCTTTTGCTGCATGCTTGGCCCCAAATTACAAGTTACTCAACCACAAGGCCAGGGCCAATCCGCATCAGCTGCAGCTGCAGCATCCGCATCGGCATCGGCATCAGAGTCAGTGGAATGGAACGATGTTTAGTTACAGGCTCGTGCGAGTATATGAGGAGGGCAAGCCAAGGGTATGGCAGCCTAATTGCATTCTGCTGCAAACTGGACCTACAAATATTTTGGCCAGCAATTTTCATATGGAATTTAATTTTTTTTTTCTAATTTTCCATTCGATTTTCTAGTAAACTCAAATTGCATGCATTTTCTCGTTTGCATGAGTGAGGAGCGATTTGGGTGCTCGGCCGACAAGGAATTAATGGCAAATCTCTCGTCCTTTGGGCAAGTGGATCTCCTTGAGCACACAAACATGAATCATTTCTAGTCTCGGCCATAAAACAAAAGTTAATAGCTCCGTTGGCGTGGGCAGGGGCGCAGTGGGCGGAGGAGCAGAATGAGGGGTTATGTGTCAGCTGTAATAAAATGAAGCAGCTACTATGCCAAGGTGAAAAACTTTTAATACACATAATAGCCGGGCCGGCACAAGGCGGTGTGGCTCTGAAGCAGTCGTGCACTTGGCGTGGAGCAAACTTCAGGCAGAGCAACGCAGAGCTAAGAAATGCGAGCCCGGAGAGGAAGCCGAGGAAGCTGGACCCAGAACCAGACCAGGACACGGATTGGGACCAACTTTGGCTGCAGCTCAAGTGTCCCAGTCTGCCATTTAACACATAGTTGGGCTCTAGCTGCAACCCAGGAACCCAGGTTCGCTTGCTCGCGCCTCGCTGCTCAAAGTCCCTGCACGAGTTCTCCATCATCTTGTTTCGGGGCTGGTGCTGGAGCTGGAGCTGGGGGCAACTTCATCATTCCGTTGCCTGCCTCAATGGCCCCACGAGTGCGTTTAAAGCCAGCGCAGGCGGAGAGAGTAATCATTCGTGGGGGCTGCCTTTTGCTTGAGTTCCTGTTCCTGTTCCTCCGCCAGATGGCAGCAGCCACTTGAACATTTTTTTGCGCCATGTCGCTTTTATTTTAGTGCAACTATCAAACATTTAAAATATATTAGCCGCGCCGTCTGGCGAGGCGCTGTCTTGCCCTGTGACCTCGCTCCTCCTGCTCCCTTTTGGCTGCCACCCCACTGATGGCCACTTAGTTCTCTCGACTTGGGCTGCACTTTCCTGCAGTCATCGCCTTTGTTGGATGGCGGCTGGCAAAGTTCAAAGCGCCGCCCTGCAAGCGGCCATCAATTATTTTAACAGCTTCGTTTTTGCGCCCCCCCCACGAACAAGCTGCGCTGGCAGTCGGGATACATATATCCCAGCCACTCTGGAGGCACTGTCTGGGGAGCATCGTTAGGTGTTGAAATGAATTCTAATATGACATGAACGCGGCCCACTTTGGGGGATATATCCACTTACCCTGGGACTGTGCAGTAGGGGTATCCTGTTGGCGAACTGCGCGATTGTCGTCGATGCCGTCTTCCACACAAGCGTGTCCACCAGCGAGTGCTCGTTGACGCCCGGACAGGGTATGGTCACGTTCTTGCCCGCCTCGGCGTTCACCTTAACGTAGTCCAGATTTGTGACGTCTGCAGAGAGAGAGAAGGTAACAGTGGAGGTATTAGTACTCTATGTAAGAGGATGATAGGCGAAAGTGGGCTGGCCAAAGTGTAGGGCATTCCATTGAAAAAGTTCAGGCACAAGCCACAGAGAGAAGCCTCGTCCCCAACCCCAACCCCATTTCAAAAGGGCAGCAGCTCAAGGCCCTGTCCAAAGAAGAGCTCAAGTTATTTTGTATGGAATATTTCGTGCACACAAAAGCGTAAAGCGGCCCCAAAATGTTTTCTTAAAATATCTGCAAGGCATTTTAATTACATAACATGTTTACGGTGCAGCATAGCTCCAGTCAGAGCCCCTACAAGCACTGCCCTGCACTGATAGTCTCAGTGCTGGGTACCTGAATGAAAGCAATTTTATGCACTAAACTATTTGCACTGGCAACCGACAGTCGATGCCAGTTGGTCACCTCCACAGGTGACCCAGTCCTGAAACGTGTCCCAATGCCTGTGAGTGGGTCTGAGTCAACATCAGCAGCAGGAGGAGAGGAGCAGCAGCAGGTGGAGGAGCAGCAGCAGAAGGAGCAGGAGCTTACTTACCAGATCCTATGGAGCAATATTTGTTTTTGAAATTGCCAAAAATTCATTCCAATTTCGAGACGGAAACTGAACACAGAGTTCCCGTCCCGCTCCCTCTGACTCCGACTCCGACTCTCCGGTCTGTGTGGCCAGGGCTCCAATTAAAATTATAGAAACAACAAATCGATGGCAGAACTAGGGCCAGGACCAGGGTCTCAACGTAAGCGGCTTTGGCAGCTGCAGCTGCAGTTGCAGTTGCAGTTTCGGCTCTTCGCATAAATTGCCAAGCGTTCGAGTGTTGGTAATAAGCATTAGGCATGACATGACTCCAATGGCCACGACTACTGCTACTGCTACTGTGTACTGTGTACTACAGCGACTGGAACTGGGCCTGGGACTGGGACTGGGTACTGTGACTGTGGCCCGCCACTTGCAATCAATTGAGAAATCATGCTGAAAGCCCGGCCATAGAGGAAACAACAGCAACTGGCTGTCGTGGCAATGCCAATGCCAATGCCAAAGAGAGAGACTCTCACCAGACCCTCACGAAACCCGCCCATTAGCCAGGCCAATAGCCATGGCAGTGGCAGTGGCAGTGCCAGTGACATTGTGGTACGCTGCCAATGGCAGTTGAAACTCAACTGGTTGCATTGCCCCATCGACTGGTACTCGTGTCTCGTGTCTCGTATCTGTGTGCCTTTGCTGGAGTTTTTTGGGTTCTGATTTGGGGCTCTGGTGATTATTTCGAAATGGCCTGCAGCTTATGTGCAGCTCTCGAAACTCTTTCGAGAAACTTTTAAGGCACGTTGATGGCTGTATTGATAAATTATCGATTCAGTGCTTTGTCTCTGCCACTACACCCACCCATCCGCACTTAGTGGCGCCCCGAAACTTTGTCGCATATTTTGCATAATACGAGCTCAATGCTGCGGTCTGACTGCCCCTGGGGATACACATAGAAGTGCAGGCAGGGTATGGTTCAGGCCCTGGTCCCGCTCCTGGTCAATTTTTGTGTAATTTATGATTTTCGTCGCTGAATACAGGGCGCGCTCCAGACGCCTTAGGTGTGGGTGGGCAGTTGAGGCATTTTTGCATATTATGCGATGCGCATACAGATGAGCATAGACCCGAACCCTAGCTGACGGAGCGCTGGGTACGAGCAGTTTAATTTCCTGATGCAAAATGGCAGTGCCGCCCGCGCCTAGAAGCGCCACTCTGGCTGCAGCAAACAATTGCAGCAATTTACGTACGCAAAAAGGGAAACCACACACGAGTAGAAGTAGAAGTTGGCAATTAAGAAGCAAATCGAGCGACAGACAGTCGCTGCAAAATAAATTATAATTATTGCTTGCAATTCGGACGAGGGCCCAGGGGATTGGTAGGTCTAGCCACAGGACAAATTAGCCAAACGACAAAAACCAAAATAAGTAGTGGAAAAGCGGACTCGGAGACAAACGACAGCCCAACCCCTCGTCAAGGCAGTCAGTCAGCAGAGAGACAGACAGACAGGCAGGCAGGGACAGTGCTGCGATGGGTGGTGCGCTTCGCTGACTTTGGCTAATAATCAAATTGAATGCAACCCCCGATTGAGGCCGACCAGCCGACCCACCGACTCACCCGGCAACAATTAATTTTATTTATGTTGATTCTAATCAACGAAGGGGCCGCGCCGTGCCATGGCGTCCAAGGGAGTTGGCTGCCATGGCAAATTGTCTGCTCGGCTCCCTTTGAAATCCTGCCAGAGCAGAAGCTCGTCTGAGCGTATAAAAGATGAAAAATATTGAATTCATGCTCCAGTGCCTCAGCTCCCTGCTCCCTGCGCTCACCCACTGAGAGTCAAAAGCATTACAAATATTACAGCACTTCGATGCGTCTGTTTGTTTATTTGTTCTACTATTTCGTAAGCTGCTGCTGCTCCCCTGCTCCCCTTCGATCCGTTGCCATGTCACTCGCTAAACTCTCAAGTGTACCCCCCGAAAATGGACCAGCACAAAGCAGACCAATCCCTGACATAATATTGGGTGCTTTGTTGCCGTTGAGGAATGATCATTTGCATTCAGCTGGATTCGATGCTTAGACCGCTTAAGACCCATCGCAGAAACAGCCATTGATGTCAATGGGCATTCGGATTCCACACCTCCACCCCCCTTTGAGTCGTGTTGTCCTGCTGTTAACCCTTTGGCTGTATTTGCCTTTCAATTGCTGCGCTTCCCATTCTGCACTCTCCTCTCCCAGCGTTGCTTCAGCATTCCTGTTGCATTGAATGGACTCTGGCTTTGTGCGTGCCACCAACAAGTTGCAACGTTTTATGGCTCTTGGAGCGAGTGAGCGTGCAGTTTGCAGTGCATCTATTTGGAAACCATTTCGATGCAATTTTCCGTGTGGCAATGCCATTCCACAGTGCATCTCAAAGCGTGGGGAAAATCGCTGAAAATTGTTAAGCCACTTGAGAGTGGGTGGAGAGGGACAGGAGGACAGACAGGCTGCATGCACTCTGCTTTGGCTTATATTAACCGATCTGCAGGCCACAGTCATGGCCACGGCCATGGCCCTCCTGCGGTGCATCTGTTTCAGCTCGAATTAAAATTCTGCATTGGATGAGTAATTATCCAATTAAAACGCAAGCTTCTGGTTGAGCGGTGGACACTGGGTGGCTTTAGCGGGCATGGTTATCCCTTGATGGTCGTCCTTAACTTGAGGCACGTGGCAAGCGCGTCAGTCAAGTGCTTGAAAAGGATGCGGCACGCATGTGTGTGTGTCTGTGTGAATGACTGCCTGTCTATCTGGCTGGCTGTCTGTATTCCCTCCCATCCCGTCTGTCAGGCTGCTGTTTGTATAGACATTCAGTCAGGTTTGAAGGGAAAGTAGATGCGTGAGCAGACATCGATGGCCAGCACAGCACAAGGGAGCATCGTGCTCATGACAACCCATACGCATACTCGTACGCTCTCCTCTCCTCTCCTTCAGAGAGACAGACAATATCCCTTTTTTTATGCCTGAACGCAGCAAATAATGAAATTATGACAAGCCGCAGGAGTTGGGAGCTTGGAGTTGGGAGCCGCTTCGAGGCACGAGATAAAAGCTGACAAGTGGCGAATATGAAATATGATTGAGCTTTTCATATGCCACATGCCCCGAGCACCGAGCACCGAGCCACCAGCCCGTGCCCAGCCACGCCCCCCGAGACACTTTACTTTAACTAGGCGATGCATACCCACTTGACAATGGCAATGGCAATGGCCCTGCCACTGGCACTTGAAGTGTTTCGCTTTGGGTAAACATACAACCAACCAGACGGAGGACAGCGGACGGCGGACAGAGGCCTTTACCGCGCCACGAGCGGCCCCAAAGGATCAGAAACAATAATGCTGACATCAAATTGAAGCCAAGCTGATGGCAACTGTCAGGCAAATGTGTTTCAATTTCGTTCAACTTCAACTTTAGCACAGGGGATGGATGGATGCACCCAGGCAGCAGTCGAGTCGTTATGCGGCATGTGGCTAAAGGGTAGCACACGGGCCAGCCAGGGTTGCCGTGGCAACCGACAGTCGGCGGCGGCGGCCAGTGGTAATCCCTTCCGTTTCATTACACAAATGCGGCTTAAAGAGAGAATATATAATAATACCTACAACAATGTGAAAGCCCTATAAAATATGAGCCATATTAAAATGCAAATAAACCAGGGGATACACAGGATACACATCCACAGCATCCACAGGCACACATGCAGGCACACACATGGTGTATTTATGTATGTGGATAGAGTCTGCCACGGACAGGTGCTCGCCATAGTATTCCTCCGTGCCTCCCATTTATCCTTGTTATATTGATATAATTAACCGAACCGATATCTGGCCTGATATCTGAAAACTGATCGTGCACAATGCACTCTCTTGGCAGCCTCATTATGGGCAGCGTCTGCAGACTTGCGGCACTCAGTGTGCAGGCCCTTGGTACACATCCTTCGCGTCCCATCACTGGGGCTAGCAAATTGGCGCTGCAGTGGCACGCTGAGTGAGCCCAAGAGCTGTGGCAGGGGCAGGGACAGGAACAGAGGCAGAGGCAGGTACAGAGGCAGGTATCATATCATCCTCTTGCCCTGGCTAAAATTAAAATGGAAAATTCTGCGCATTTTGCCATGTAAATTGGAATTGCCGACAGGGAAGCCGAGGGCCCAGGGCCAGTTGCCAGCAGCCAGTTGCCAGTTGCCTGAAGGCAGCAGGGATGTGCCCGGAGCAGCAGCGGGAGCGGCAGCGTCAGGTGAAAAGTGAAAGGCTCAAATGCCGTTGCCACTTTTCCGGACGAAATTTGAGCATTTGAGCGCTCTTTTTTTTTTTTTTGCTAGTTTAGAAACGCTTCGAGTGTGCTCAATGTGTCGGTGTCTCTGTGTTAATGTGTGTGTGTGTGTGTGTTGGTCCTTGGCATCCTCTCTGTGTGCCTGTGTCCTGGTAGGT